CACACACACACACCGAAATGGGCGATGCTGAAGCAGAAGGTGGTTCTTAAAGAGACAGAGGCCAATTTCAAGGCGTTCAGAAAAGGAAGTGATGAGAAGATGTTTATTTTCTATTTAAACATAAAAACAGCATTTTAATAACAGCTAAAGATGACATAGATACTTTAATTATGGTATAGTATTTAAATGTATGCCTGAGAAACACATAATATTGCCCCTTTAAATAAGGTTCACACACTCGCTTTACACACAATTTAAACATGGATTTGTGTGTAATATTATTTTAGGGACACTTTCAGATAAACAAGTTTTGAATGTTTTGACACATTCGATCATTGTTGACAGTTTCACATAAAGTATTAAAATCTCCATACTGTTGTAGCGACTCAGGAGCTAATAAATCTAATTTTGCAACATTTGAGTAGTTTTTTTTCTGGTCACAAAAAAAAGCCAAAAGAAAAAAAAAGTCTTTAAACATTGACTATTTCAAGTAAAAATAATCATTAATTGATACCTAATGGTTCAGAGAAGAAGCAGAATCAATCAGATTACATTCCAAGCATGATTTAAGTGTTTTGAATTTCAAAAACTTCCAACTGTGAAGCCGTTTTAGGAGCTGATCTTGAGCCGTCAGTCGTCAGTGGTGCTTATCATTTCTTTACCTTAGGGTCCAGCTCACAATGTGTCTGACTTGACATGACGGTTCAAATAAAGTGAAATTAAGCCATGGTTTGGTTTAACCTTCAGCTAAAACAGTAATGAAAATWGACATGTCTGGCAATGGTTTTCATTGTTTCAGAGCCAATTGCCTCCTAAATTTGCTCTGCCTGTCATTCTGTATGCTCCTACTGTCGTGTTGCCATCTATCTGTGTCTGTCAAATGTTACCCTTTTTTACATGTTTGACTACCAGAGCTTTTTATTTATTTCTTTTCCAACTATTTTAGATGTCTTCTGTGGCTGCTGCTTCTCTTAGACATTGAGTATCACTGTTTTATCTGATTTTCCAAGCAGGAAGTGAGCAAACTGAGAATGGAGATCTTACAGCATTAGAAAAGCGGACATCCTACGGGCCTTGTCATTTAGTCTAATTGATTCTGTTAATTATCTTTGGAATAACAGAGTGTTTGTGCTATTTTTACCCAGACTGTCTTTAATCATGTTAATCACTCTTGTTTGATGCAGACGACCACTGCTGTTATTATTTATTAATTGGCATYTTATAATGTATGTGAATGTTTCAAGTACAGTGCCCTGAGATGACTTTAGCTCTGAATTACTTGTATAAAACAACTTAAATTGAATTAAAATGCATTCAAGAATGTTGCACCTATTGATTTATTTCTGTTGATTTTACTTTTATATTTGAGAAGCTTTTGTAGCTAAATAAATTAGATAGGTATGATCCAGGTTGTCCTCTTTTGTAAAAAAAGAAACACATGCCTGAACATTATGCAGTGTTGGAATTTCCCTTCAAAAACAGGATTCCTCACACAAACCTCATTTGACCCAATTAACAGCAAACCGACACTACTTACATTTTTGTCCTTTTATTTTCCCCTAAACAAGGGCTCTTCTTGATTGCTGCCCATTCCGAGCTATTTGTGATTGGCTCAGAATACAGTGGCTGATGGGTGATGATTAGCAGCAGCCCGGCTAGCCAATCAAAGGCAGTTAATTAGCCCCATTGTTTTCCCATTGTCCTGTGTCGAGGACTCGCCTGGCTCTTTCCTTCTGTGTCTTCACCGGGCCTTTTCACCCCACCTCGTCACTTTCATTAGCGAGGTGGTGTGGCAGGACAATCAGGCAGAGCACTGGTCTGAGCATGGCATTCTTGTGATTACACACACACACACACACACACACACACACACACACACACACACACACAC